TCCACAGGGGCATCCAAATATATCAAAATTGTAAAGATTCACTATCCACCCAATTTTCAAAATTTCCCAAAACTTTGTATTACCTTTAAATGTCAGACAAACTGGCAATGATTATTTGTGCTCAATATCAATATTGTGGTGTATCCATGGTTTTGTTATGGTGGGGGGGGGGGGGGATATGACAAAAAATATTGACAGCCAAGAATATAGGTCTATATGATTTGTCAGGGAGATATGAATTTCACATCTCCTAGGTTTTATTGTTGTCACCAATTAAATTATTTTAAAAATCACTGTCAAGCTTGGAAAAGGATTTTGAAAATAATTTAAAACATGTTTATCTCATTTTCCTGGTGAATTTTGGGTCTGCCACGGGAATTGGGCACAAAATTCGTCCCTATTTTCACAAAGTGATGGTAGTGAGGAAAATCGTAACGCAAAGTGAATGCAATTTTTTTTTCACTATACCGTCACTTTGTGAAAACAGCGACGAAATGTGTGCCTGCACACATATATATATATATATATAGATTTTTAATTTTTTTTTGGAGGGGGGGGGGGGGGGGTTGCTTTTTCCATGTATGCCTAAATGAGGGGCGCAGACCAATTGTGCCCATTATATATCCTGCTGTGTAGTCTGCATGAAAGAGAAAATACAGTTATACCAACAATAGAATAGAGACATTTTAATTTGATGTTATTACTTGGTTTATTTTATTTGTCCACAGACGCTGCATGCAAGTGTGCTAATGGCTGCAAGTGTGGAAGCGGCTGCTCATGCACTGAGGGGAACTGTGCATGCTAGACGAGCTAGGCCCTTTGCTATAGGGATGGCAGGTGAGATTTTATTAATTTTCATGGCTACATAGTAAAAAATTGTTTCCAGGCAAAAACGTTAGCTAGTCATAAGGGATATGACAGGGTCTGAAATGTAAGACTGTAGATTTGCACTGCATAAAGCTGTGCCATCATTTTTTTAAAAATAGAATTTCACAATTTGAATTTCATTTTCCGAGAGAGCATCAAAATTAATGTCCAAATGTCGAAAGCCAACTGAATATGTTAAATATTGGCTGAGATGTGACCATTTGAATAAATAGGTTTCCTATAGGAACTCAATGTTATATTGCTGTGGTTCATAACATCATGAACCAGAGCAAAATAACACTGAGTTCCTACACAAAATCTATTTATTACATTACTGCATTGCGATATATAAAAAAGGTCAATTAGAAAATCGTTGCAAGTTATGGCAATATGTATAGACCTTCCTGTCTTTCATGACTTTTGTATATTTTTTTCAACAACCGGAACAAATTCATTAACCATTTCTGTGTTTTCATATTTTTTTGTAAAAATATTTTCAAGCATTTTGTTTTTCTCTCCGTGTCTGTTTCTCTTCTACAGATTGAGCATACAGCTGATGAAGTCACTCAGCGCATCTGCCAACATGCTCCAAGCAGACATGACTTTGTATATACTTTCGACCCGATGTATTATATTTTTTGTTGTAAGATAGTTGTAGTTAAGTTAATTTAAACTTTATTTTTTCTGAAAATATGAGACTAATTGGCATTATATAGTAGGACTACTTAAACAACAATTATTAATTAAGGCTGACAGTAATGCCTGATAGAATTTTACTTCATTTTTTGCTGCCCTGTTTTGTAAATTCTTCAGTCTGTTTCTAACTTCTATCAAGTTGTATTATTATTTTCATTCCAAATTTGACATGTGGAGAGTACTTGTAGTGCGCAAACTCCACATGACTAATTTGTTAAAGACTCGCTCATGATTAAATTTAAATAATGCTACAAAGTATATTCAGTATGCGTTGCTTATTTTTTCTCATGATTTATTTGGCATGGTATATAATGAGGAAATATGTAGATTATTGAGGTACTTTGAAGAAAAAAGAGATTTTTAATTTAAAGAATTGTGTGCTGTAGAGGAAAAAGAAGATGAAAAGGAGATTACAAAAAAAATATCAAAGGGTGAAAGAACAACTATGATAACAGTGCAGGCAAACAGCCTCAGAATTCCCTGGTAATTACAAACTAGCAAGAGAAGGAGTGAGGAGGCCAGAGAAAGATGGGTGCAGGCCAGAGTTATACATGTACTGCGGGTTAGAGAGAGAGAGAAAGAAAAAGAGACGTGGACGAGAGAGTGAGAAAAGGGAGGGAAAGAGATAAAAGAAAACAAATAGACGTGGACGAGAGAGAGAGAGAGAGAGAGAGAGTGAGGGAGTATGACCAGATAGGAGTGAAAAAAAGGAAAGAAAGAAAAGGAAAAAAAGACGTAGAGAGAGAGTATGACCAGATAGGAGTGATAAAAGGAAGAGAGAGAGAGAGAGAGAAAGAAAACAAAGAGACATGGACGAGATATAATGACCAGATATGAAAAAATAATGGCAAATGTAAAACTGATAAGTGCCCCCTTTTCCTCTTTCAATAACAAGCGCCCCTATTTACAGCAACTAAAAGTGACTGTTTCTTTAATTCCCACCCCAACTCGCTAGCTTGCATTTATAGTTGATATAATTATGTTAATTTCATGATTATATTGTGCTAAACATCCCATCAGGATTATTTTTTCTTCTTTATTGTTGTAATTTTTCGCACAGCGACTTCACAAATTGCATATTTTTGGGGTCGCTCGCTTCGCTCCCTCGCAAATTATATTTTAAAGCATCACACACAGCAGCAAAGTATGATGCTTTATCAGTTTCTTGGACCATAATTTATAAAAAAAGAAAAACAAATCTGAAATTATCACCCCCCCCCCCCGTAATGTAGGGGTGTATACTAATGTCCATATAAAAGTATATTTTCGCTTTGATGTTTCCCTTTGTATAGGTTTTCCTTTTTCTAAGAACTTGAAGTGCCTTCTTTTTGTTCATGCCCCCCCCCCCCACACTTTTGAAGACACTCCGTCGCCCTATATAGGGGACAGTCCTCTCCAGACCTTCCCCTCGAAAGGGTCTATCTCAATTTACCTCATAATGTCTGAACCCCCTTCCCCAACTACAATCTGCCTATTCAAGAGCCTGATTACGAGCTTTTAAGAAATGTTTTAATTCATGCTGGGTCAACCCGTCAAACACGTTTGTACCATTACGCTACTGCCCCATTTCACAAAACTTGTCACCAGTGACAAATGACAGTTTTGAGCAGATTTGTCACTGATTTGTTGCATTTGTCATTGAAAAAGGCTTTGTAAAATGGGGCCCAGGTCTTGCATACACTATAGCATTCATAAACACTTACAAGTGAAAGCTCCTATATCAAACTTTTACAATATTTTATTATTATTATTTCACATCAATTTAAGGAATGTTTTGAGGACAAATGACATTTTATTGCACTTGGTATATAGGCCTGTGCAGTGGCATACGCAGGATTTTTTTCAAGGGGGGGGGGGGGGGTTAACGTTTCGAAATGGGGCCGAAATTTCGCAACGACTCAGCCAGCCGCTGAATAAGCGGGGGGGGGGGGGGGGGAGGGGGGGGGGGGGGGAGGTAAGAGGACACTTTTTTTTGGGGGGGGGTCTTGAAATTTGAAAATTTGAAATTTTTCTTCGTTAGGGGGGGGGGGGGTAAGGCATATTTTTTTTTTAATATAATTTAAAAAAAAAAAAAAAAGGGGGGGGGGTTATAGGGGGGTTTTCTTAAAAATACACACATAAAAAATACCAAAGGGGGGTTTAACCCCCTAAACACCCCCCTCCTGCGTACGCGCCTGATAGAAGTAAACGTAGAAAGATAGTAAAGCAGAATATGAAAACTGTGTTCTTAGAATATCTTATTTTATCACCTTGTAGAGTACATTTTGGCAAACAACGGATGGGAGTGATGGCGGTATAATTAAAACAATTAGTGCCTAATACCTCCTTAACATACACAGATTTTTCTTACGAGTCCTTACGGATCACACATATTTACGGATCTTTCTCGGATCCTTACGATTTGGCCTCTTTTACGACCGGTTTAAGAGTTATTACAAGCTTTTTGCAGTTTATTACGAATTATTACGACTTATTACGATGTATTTACGGCAACAGTCCACGATTCGTTACGAGTTGTCACGGATAACTACAAGCAACTAACGTGTTAGTCACGACCTGTTAACATGTTGTTACGAATAGTTACGAATAAGTTACGAGTATTTAGGAGTCCTTAAGATTTTTAGCCAAAAAATAACAACTGAAAAAGAAGTGTTTGCATTTGTAGCTTTTACACCTTCCCCATTTCGTAAACAATTCGTAAGCATACGTAAAGCATACGTATCTATTCGTAAATTACTCGTTACTGTACCTAAAATGCTCGTCTTAACCTGTATCGATCCGTAAAGCCATCGTAAAATGACCGAATAAAATCGGAAACAACACGTAAAGCACATATAACCATCCGTAAACTATTCGCAATAATCCGTAATTAATCCGTAAACAAAAAGTAAACTAACCGTAACGAATCGTTACAAAAACGGCCACTTACGGTAGCTGCGGATGCTTACGGATAAAAGTCCGTAAGCATCCGCAAGGATCCGTATCATCCGTAAGCATCCGTATCCATCCGTAATTCAATCCGCAGGATCCGCAGACATACGCAGATCTGCAGCGGAATTTTGAAAATCTCAAAATTTTGCTGCGGATGAAATATACGTAAGCATCCGCAGAATATACGTTATCCATACGTAAAATACGTAACTCATACGTAAGATACGTAAACTCATCCGCAGGATACGTTAGATACGTAACTGATCCGCACACTTTGTCGGGTGTGCGGATGCCTGCGGATACATAGGGGTACGTAAACACTATTACGTAGGAGTTACGTATGTTTAACGTATTTTTGACATATATATTGCGGATCTTACGATAGGACTTGCGGTAATTGCGTATGCTTGCGGATGGGATACGAATATTACGGATGGGATACGGATGTTACGGATTGGATATGTATGTCACGGTTGAGATACGGATAATATGCGGAATTTTTACCTATGTCTTCTTTCATTTCGGCGGATGTCGCCCATGCCAAATGGTCTTCACTTGGGTATGCAACCCTGGATGCTGCCAGCATCCTCATCATTGTCAGTTCTTCAACTGTAGACTTTCACAGGTCACTCAAGATGGAGAGAGAACGCCGCCTTGTGTTGCTGGATTGTTTGATGGCCATCCAACACAATCAGATGCAGATGAAGATCCTGATGGCCAAGATGCAAGCCATCCTTGAAAGGAGAAAAGAGAGGATGTGTTGGGTTCGTCACTGGATCACATTGCGACCACACCAGGGTGCCTATGGTAACCTGATGCACCTGCTACGCAATGAGGATGTTCAGGGCTTCCGCAACTTCACCCGCATCACACCTGCCATGTTTGCCGAAATGGTCACCCGCCTCACTCCTCGCTTACAGAAGTATGATACCTGGTACAGGAAGGCCCTTCCAGTAGGCTTGAAGGTCGCCATCACCATGCGCTACCTTGCCAGTGGGGACTCCTACCACAGCCTGATGTACCTATTCTATGTACCCCACAACACCATCTCACTCTTGGTGTTGGACGTGTGTCAGGCCATCTACGCTGAGTATGGCGAGGAGACCATCAGCAACCCATCTACTCCAAAGGGGTGGAAGGGCATTGCCCAGACCTTCTCCGACCGGTGGAACTTCCACCATTGCCTGGGAGCCTTAGATGGCAAGCACATCCGCATCAAGGCACCCGCGAACTGTGGCTCCCAGTTCTACAACTATAAGGGGTACAACTCGATTGTACTCCTTGCCCTGGTTGATGGCAACTACAAGTTCCGGTGGGTGGAGGTGGGAGCAGGTGGTGCGAGTTCTGATGCCCAGATTTGGAACACGTGCAGTCTGAAAGAGGCAATTGACGATGAGAACATTGGAATACCACCAGATGAGCCACTGCCTCATGACGATCGAGACATCCCTTATTTCGTGATTGCTGACGCTGCATTTGCACTACGCACCACCCTGAAAAAAAGCTGTATTTACACTGCAACAAAAAAAACATCGGTTTTTCTCACATTCCAGTGTTTGGCCGGTAGTTGCATAGCCTTTTAACAAGGCCATATGTCTGATAGACGCCGAGCGAATAAAAAGAAACTAATCGCAAAAGCCCGAGTGAATGACAGAGCGAGAACCACAGCGGTCGCGCGTTCCCACCGGGTATCTAGCCTCATCTTAGCCGCTTAGCCAGAGTCACGAGGCCTTGTCAAAAGGCTAGTAGTTGCATAGCAAACACGACGAAAATTGGAAATAGAGTGTAGGTTTTCTGAAACGAGTTCCTCATGCGCACTACTCACCAAAAGTGCGGAAAGAGCAAATTCGACGGTTTTTATGTGTGTTTTTTTCAGTAGTGTAGTAAAAAATACCGACGATTTTTCTAAATGGTCTTTTTGATGGGTAAATTGGCCTTAAAGCGCCGATTAGCGAGATATTTGTGTGCTCAACATAATAAATTGTAAATTTTAAGCATGGCATTCCCATTTTCTCTAGAAGTCCCAGCTTTTGCTGCCTCCTCAAGATGCCGCCCATTCCACCGCAGAGACTCCGGGTTCTGATGCTGCAAGAACACCTTCAAGTGGCAGCGCATGAGCATGACGTGGTATTACTTGCCTTGATACGGGAGAGAGAGAGGCAACAGAGATGCCGACGCAGGAGATGGTGGGTTCGCCCATGGATCGAGAGGAGGAGGCTTTTCGGGCAGAACGAAACGTTGTTCCAAGAGCTAGAGCGTGAATCGCGGGGGGACTATGTCGGATACATGCGAATGGACCCCAATCTCTTCGCCGAGCTCCTGCTCCGAGTGACCCCTCGAATCACCAAGTGCCCAAGGTGTGTGTCTTCATTTCTGCCATAACAAATTCTTGGTTTTGCTTTGTATTTGCTTTAAAATTCACGACTTCCGGGTGGCACACAACAGCATATCCACGTTCGTGCCGGAGGTCTGCACCGCCATCTACAAGGAACATAAGGAGGAGATGTTCAACATGCCCTCCACACAGGACGAGTGGAAAGCCGTCGCCAGCCAGTTTGGAACGCGATGGAACTTTCACCACTGTTATGGGGCGATCGATGGGAAACATATCGCCATCAAGAAGCCCAATAAAAGTGGATCGCTCTATTACAATTATAAGCGCTTCTGTTCTGTGGTGCTCCTGGCCATCGTGGATGCTAACTATTCCTTCTTGCGGTGCAAGGTGAGGGCAAACGGCTCTTCCTCAGACGCACGCGTGTTCAACGAGTCCACCCTCCGGGGGGCACTGGAGGACAACACACTTGGATTCCCAGCACCGGATCCACTTCCAGGCGACGACCGGAACTTTCCCTACTTCATCGTAGGCCATGATGCTTTTCCCCTGCGAAATTGGCTCTTGAAGCCATACAGTCGCCGTGCCATGACCCACAAAGAGAGCGTGATGAACTATCGGACCTCTCGGGCCCGTCGGATTGTGGAGAACGGCTTCGGGATATTGGCTCACCGGTGGCGGTGCCTACTCACCACCCTGCTGTTGGAGCCTGACAGGGTGATTCGCATTGTGTTGGGCTGCCTCACCCTTCACAATTGGCTGCGAAAGCGCCGGCCCGGACTACAGGACCTTAATTTGGACCACGAGGATGAGGATGGCAACGTGGTCCCCGGGGCCTGGAGGGAGGATGTGCAGATGACCGAACCCAACCAGATTGTCGGCCAACGGGCCTCAAGGGAAGGGAAAACCCTGGGAAACTTATCGAAGAAGACCGGATTGACCGAGAAGAACTCAACCAGGCGCTCCTCCTGTTTCGCCGAGAACGAGCAGTTGGCCTTTTCCTTTGTCACACCCTTTTCATGTGACCCCTTCTCCGATCCACCAGCAGCACCCTCCTCATGATCAGACGCTTTGGCGTCACCATCTGACTCTTTTTCGCTCCTCCTCTCCTCTTCCTCTCTGGCCCTCTTATCTTCCGCGGCCCGTTTCTGTTGGGCCTCTCTGGCCTTCTTATCCGCTGCCTTTTGAGCTGCAGATGCAGCTGACCCCTTATTCTGTGTCTTCTTCGGCGCCATCTTGGAGACGAAATGTTGGCACTCTTCCGTCGGCTCGGCTTTTGTATACCGCATAAATCAGTGCGCACAACGTGCGTTGTAAGTGCGGAGCACGTGCTTACTCGGTACGGTCGACGTGAGTTCTGCGTGCTCATTAGAAAGTTGAACTGGGGAAGTGGCGAGTAAGCACGGACCACGCGCTTATCACGTGCGCAGCACGCACGTGCTAAGTGCGCCTTCCGTAGAGCAAGTGATCGTGGGAAACAAATTTAAAAACGCACGGAGTCAGTGCGTTGTGCGCTCGTTGGCAGTACCGGGCACGCACGTCACGCGCACTGGGGGTGAATCGGTAGCCCGAACGCAGCGAAAGTTCCTCGTGCACTAAAAGTGCTACGGTGTGTCTGCGTGCTCCCAAATCCGTACGGAGGCGGTACTCACCACGTACCGATACCCAAATTTTGCCCACGTTTTTGCACGTAGACGGCACGCACTTGCAAGTACGGCGGGATGTGACCACCGCATTAGTTATACCTCCTTCCAGATAAACGAGTGTGTCAGTGTATACCACAGTTCTTCCTCCTGACAAAATTTGGTACATGGAGCCTAAGAAGAACATTTTACCCAAATTCTTAGGGGCCGCTTGTTCTGCAATGTCCACTACTCCCTACTTAAAGTTTTGTGCTACATGGAGTGAAATCGAGCTGACTTTTTGGATAAGTTTTGGGAGATGTGGGTGCTAAACCCGACGGCTGCGGTCAGACTGAAAACATTTATGTCAATGAGTTAGATTGTCTAATTAACTAATGCTAATTGAATTGAATTTAATTGAATTGGCTTATTAGAAAATAAGAACATGACATGAAACTCAAGGCTGATATTGTCTGTTTTTACAAAGTAATCAGATATTTACATCATGATAATAACATAAAAATACAAAAGCAATATACACAAATGACAATGGTTTCATCAACCAGCGATATTATAAAAGAGTCAGAAAAAACAATCAGAAAGAATAGTACGGTAGGCAGAGTTTTAATTAAACTTGTTATTAATAAAAAGTGCATGCCAAACTGTTGGAAAAAAAATGTTAACAGCCAATCGTATTCAGGGATTTCAAAAGCTTATATCAGATATTCTACCGTGTCACTCAAAAAGCATGTTATGAACCAGGGCCCCAATGTAAGCCTGCTGTTATTCACATTCATATCATTTATTTTTTTCTTCTCTTTTTGCTTGCTATACTTCTGCATTGTATGCATGCATGCATATAAGTTGCTATTAAAATTGTATGTAAACAAAAATAAAAGAAAACTTGACATGCTTAATATAATGATGTAGATATCAGTCATCCAATAAACAACAAAACCAGATCAAAATGCAAGAATGGAAATACTTTTGTTTGCTATGGCAACAAACCCTTTCCTGTTTTGACATGAGGAAATCCTTCTAATTCCGCAAAACAAAACCCACCGGAACCAACCTGATTCCGCTACAATACCAAAGGCAAAAGACACGGTAGTCTATAGTTGGACCGTTATATACAACCAGACGCCATTACGATTGCATCTGACGCATTAATTAATGTTAGATATTGATGGATTGTTCTTCTTCGGAAAACGTTTAAATTATCGAAGGAGTGTATATCTACGTGGTCAGCTTTCTTTGGAAATTTACATCACACAGGTGAGAAAAGCAACTTATACGTGAATACTGGGTGAAATATATTTTGTGTTGCTTTGATGGAATATGAATAATGGGGAAATTTAAACACGGAAGTAGGATAAAAATGTAAAAGGAGAAACGACTGTATATTGCTAGACAATGTTGTACTGGGTATATTTTCAAGTTTGTGCGTGTAAGTGCTAGAGGCAAACAAACGAACATTTAATTTAAGGAAAGAATGTCGAAAACAATCATATTGCTAAAGCAAAAAGTAATTTCTATCCAGAACGAAACAGAAATCCAACGCCAAAGAAATATATTGATTTCTTAAAATATACTTTTAGTGAGAACTATGATATGTACCAACATAGAAATAACTTGTCTACTTACGAATCATCTGCACTGAAAAGTTTGATGAAAGATGACGATATAGTCATCAAACAAGCAGACAAAGAGGTTCTTCTGCTTTAATGGACACAGATTTCTATATTTCAAAAATGAAAAGAGTTTTATCCGAGATGGTAAAACAAGGGACGATAATAATTTTTTGAATTACTCTCTTCTTTCTTTCTCTCTTTCCCAATCTCTTTCTCTCAATGATGATGATAATGATGGTCAGTAATTCTATTTATTTATCAAGCTCCGTTTTGTTTTTGTCTTCCTTTTCATTTTATTCTTCTGCCTCCCACCGCTCACATTTTTTTTTTCTCTCTCTCTCTCTTTCTCTCTCTCTCCTCTCTTTCTCCTCTCTCTTTCTCCTCTCTCTTTTCTCGCTCTCTCTCCTCTCTCTCTCCCCTCTCTCTCCCTCACTCTCCTACTTCTCTCTTCTCTTAACCCGTTGACTACTGAATTATCTAATTCCCATAGACTTAACACAGGGACCACCAGGTTCCAGTAAGCAATGGGTTAATTGCACCCATCTTTTCTCTCTTTTCCTCTTCTTCTTTTCATTTTGTGTCTGCTTATTCTCCTCTCCTGTCTTCCTGTCTCCCCTTCTCTGTGTGCATGACTGTTCATCTTCTTGTATTAAGTAGGTCAATACTCTGATCAGCATGGCTTCTGAATTCAGCTCTGTAGAGGGCGTCTGTGAAGGAGACGACTGTGAGGCGAATGCAGATCTTACTTTCTATGTGAAGGAGAAGAAGAAGCTCTGCCATGACTGCGCCTCCAAAAAGGAATGCAATAGAAAAGCAAGCAAGGGTGGGCCTAATCTGTATTGTGAGAAACATGATAAACATATTGATATGTATTGTACAACACATGGCGTAGCTTTATGTGTTTCATGCGCAATGATATATCATCATGAAAAGCCGTGCGAGCGACAGGATTTAGAGGACGCAACCATGGAAAATAAAGCAAAGCTCAACATTCTGAAGGAAAAGGCGATGGAGAAGTTAAAGTTATGTTGAGTCCATGGAAAGCATATTCGTGAGTGTAGACAATCCGCCGACGAACATCTGCAAAGTATCAAAGATGAGGTTGATTCCGTAATCGAAAAGGCGATTGCAAGCGACAAAGTCAGGGAACAGGAGGATACTGCTAAAATCGACCAGGAGATTGTTGGGAAAAACCAACAAATTCAAGAAGAGATTCAAAAGATGCAGGTTGCAATTCGGAAGAACAATGAGGAGAGAGAGAAGCGACATCAAGAAAACAACACAAATGCAGAGAAAAGACAAGAACCAATAAATTGTAAACAACACGGTCTTCATGCTGACATTCAGAACATCGCTCAAGAGATCGAGAGAAAGATTGGCGAGTTGGAGAATTCATGGCAAGATGACACAAAAGCTACAGAGAATGCCATCCAGACACTTGACTCGGTACTCGAAGAAGATCAAAATATTGTTAAAGACGGGCATCGTGTAAATACGTCAGTTAGTGATAAACTTAAAAAGCCACTGAATGA